GGAAGTGTCTGGAGAGAGGGAGGTCTGGGCATCTTTGCTTAGACTGCTGCCCCCGCGACCCGGCCCCGGATAAGCGGAAGAAAATGGATGGATGGATGGACCTCCCTACCAGAGCGATCCTAACACGTCTAAGCTTGCGCTTTGTTCTGGGCACACTCAAAAGAAACTGATTGGTAGATCTCAGGGAACGTGTAGGTGTATGCCAGTGAAGAAAGTCAGATAAATAGGGAGGTGCGAGGCCATGGAGGGATTTAAAAGCAAATAACAAAATTTTGTAGTGGATCCTAAAATGGACAAGTAACCAGTGCAAGGAAGCCAAGACTGGAGAAATGTGTTCATATTTACGTGTGCCTGTTAAAAGACGTGCTGCAGCATTTTGGACCATCTGGAAGCAAGCGATAGAAGACTCGCTAATCCCCAGATACAGTGCATTGCAGTAATCCAGTCGGGTAGTGATAAAAGCATGAATAAGTGTCTCAAATAGCCGTCCTGAGACCATTGATTTTACTTTACTAAGAGCCTGTTGCCAGGACTATTAGAGAGCTGTCAGCAATGCTAAGTCTCAGTATCTATCCCAAATTATCTCGGAGAATAGTCATCAGCTGAGAGTTCTTTTTAAGACTATTAACTCGGTTAACAATAACCAGTGCTGTTTTCTGAAGCTTTGAATACTTTGTGTGACGATTTTTTTATTGCATTTTAGTGAAAAAGTCCGGGCCATCAGAGTGAGTCCTCTACATCTTCCACCTTATGCCCCAGCTGTGTCATACCCCGGTGATACCTTGACCTCGTTTGCTCAGGTGTCCCTCTCAGAACTTAAAAAATGTGTGCTTCAGTTCAAACCCGCTGCTTCTCCACTTGATCCCCTTCCAGGCAAGATTTTTAAAGAAGTTATTGATATTATTGGCCCTGGGCTGGTCAACTAATGTTAACTCATGCTTGAGTTCTGGTTCTGTTCCTCCGACCCTTAAGCATGCGGTTGTTAGACCATTACTTAAAAAGCCCAACCTTGACGCTACGGTATTAGGAAATTTTCGGCCAATATCCCTATTGCCTTTCCTTGTGTCGTGGCTAGAGTGTGATACCGACTAAATTAATTCAGACAAACCATCCCAATTTAAAGGATCATTTAATATTACAATTATTCTGAATAGAGTAGTATTTAAACACATAATCTTGTAGTTAGGGAAACAGA